TAGGGGTCATGTTGGAATGAGCCTGCAATTGGTTTGACTCATTAAGGTGGAATTATACTATGAGATCAGTAGTAGCAGTATATAAATAGGAAGAAGGGTCAAGATGGATTTTATAGTCTTTTTGTGAGAAAATCACGGGTGAGTTAAAAACTGGAAACATTGAAGCCTTCTAACACCAGCGTGCCGTAGTTCTTTATTTGTGAGAAAACTGGAGCATTTACAGTATGTTTGAATGGTGAGAAAACTGTAGTTCTTTATTCCTTTCTCCTCCAAGAAATCAAATTGACACCAATAAAAAGACAATATCCAAAACTGGACCCTCTATTTGATAGTGATCCTGCCCATTTAGCACCAAAATAACAAACAATTTCGGAATTGCCTTTATCTACGTATATTAAACCATCACCTAGTACATTCTTGATGAAGGTGTGTATCACAATATTCCAATGAGTACCCCATGGGACTTTTAGGAATTGGCTGTATGTGATTTCTAGTCTAGTAATGAGGTAATTAAGTCTGTCTACTAGAAAATGACATCTTCCAGGATCTTTCAATGACTCCCCTTGACCTAGCAGAAGCTTCAAATAAAGATCCATAGGACTATGGTTGCGGAGACAATCCATCTTGCTAAAAATGACTAAAGAATGCTTTCACTACGAAATGACAATGTTAGACAAAGATTGTGCAATTCGATGCCATGAAAGTACCTAAGTGGACCCAAATCTTTGGTCTGAAACTGACTATGAAGGATAAACTTCAGTCAAAGAATGCCATCAAAGTCATTTCCGGTGTGATAATTACATCAACATATACAGCAACAAGAATGCACATAGATGAAGAATGAAATGAAAAACCAAGTAATCAACTTCACAATGAGTCATGCCAAACTCTATTGCACATGACATCAATTGTCCTATTACAGAGGTCAAATGGACCAAGTCACAATCTAATCATAGTACTTGGACCACAACACTCTTAAGTAAAAAGAGTTATGTTTTCACTATCAAACATAACTTTTGATGTAGGGGTAAGTGTTGGATCATCATTGGTATTAGAGCCAATGTCATGAGTTCGATTCCTAACAAGACATTATTGAGGTAGAGAGATTGTTGCAAGTGGTATTAATTATTGGGCTGTATGCTCTCAAGTATCAGCTAAACTTTGACCTAGTGGTAAGCGATTAATCCAACAAACTCAAGCAAAACCAAGTTGAAATGGTTGAACCAAGAACAGGGAGATGGCTTGATAGAGTGAGCGATAAAGCCTCCAGACAAGACATGAGTCAGAAGACAATAAAACAGAGTGACTGATGTACGCTTCTTCTTGCAACTCACCATGCAAAAAGGCATTTTTGTTGTCCAATTGGTGAAGAGGTCAGGGACAAATGACAGCCATGGAAAGAGAAAAGGAAACAAAGGAGAGTTCGGCCATGAGAAAAAAGTGTCACCATAATCTAGGCAAAAAATGTGAGTATAACTCTTAGCCACCAAATGAGCTTTGTAACAATCAAATGTACCATCAAGTGTGATCTTCACAGTATAAACACAACGACTCCTGATGATGGTTTTGTTAGGAGGCAAGAGCACAAGCTCTCAGGTGTTGCTAGCATCCAAAGCAGCCATCTTTGCAAGCATGGCTTGTTAACAATTGTGATTAGCCATTGCTTCACTTATAGAATTAAGAATGGACACAAAGTTCAAAGAAGAAATAAACTAAAAATAGGAAGGGGATAAACAATCACAATTTAGAGCAAAGGCACAAAGGTTAGAATTAAGAGTGGACAGAATACCTTTGCAAATTCCAATGGGAGGTTCAACTATAGGCAACATTGGTGGAAGAGTGGTTTGAGCAAGAGATGATGTTTGATAAGTGGGTGACACTTTTGGTCGTGCTCATATTCACCAATGGTATGTGATAAATGGAGGTGGAACAGGAGCTAATACAAGTGTTGGGACATGAATGAAACCTTGAGAGGGACATCTCCAAGGGTGGAAGAAAAAAGGAGTAGTCTCAAAAAATGTAACATCAATGGTAGAAGAAAGGAAGTAGTAGTCTCAAATAATGCAAGTCAGCAGAGACTGAATTCTAGAGTCCAAGAGTAACCCATAAAAATACATTTTAGGGTTTTAACATACAATTTACTTTTACCTAGACTGAGACCATGGACTAAACATGTGCTCTCAAAGATATAAGGAAAAACACAAAACAAAGACATAAAATAGAAAACCCGTAACAGATGAAAGAGAGCTCCTAAGTTCCAAGAAGAGAGGGCTCCTAAGTTTGGCAGCTGAGATTATGCAAGGAAATAAAAAATTATTTTATTTATAACAACAATCACAACAGTTAGATTCTCATTGCCTATAACAAAAACTCTTTAAACTAAAAAAATAAAAATACGTTGAAATAAATAAGGAAATTTTAAAGATATTTTTCCTGTTCACCATGGAGAGATTGAGGATAATTTTATCTTAATAATCCACTATTTACAATAAATAGGACTTAAGCCTAGAAGCTAGGTTAAGGAGAAGGGACTACACAACTTATGTTAGGTTCCTGGGTTTGGAACCTAACAAGAACTCAATCAAAAGATGGAGACAAAAAGAAAGAATGGGTTTCCTGTATTATTCACAGTAAAAGAGACATCTTTACAAGAATGAGTTGGGAGCATAACCTCCCTGGCTGAGGGCATAACCCCTCTCTACAAGCTAAAACCCCTGACTTTACACAAAGTATATTCGATACCCCTACAGAGTTACAAGAGCTCTATTTATAGCAGCTCTGACCCGCTCCCCCCTTTACAACCGACACCCCCATACCCCTAACTTCTAAACCCATCTAGTCTATCATCCTATATCCTAACATTACACCCCGCTGCAGAACAACCTTGTCCTCAAGGTTGGAACCGTAAAATTTGGTCTCTTGGCTCCTCTTCATCATCTTGTTATCATCTGAAGAGAATCCACTGGCTACTGCCCACCAATTCAGGTCGGGAGGCTTAGGTGGTGGCAATTCCTCCTCCACTATCTTCCATGCTTCCTCTTTCCTTCCTATCACCCCCAAATCCCACACCAAGGTCCACAGTTCTACTTCCTTTATTTTTAACAAAGCTTCTGGCTCCCCCCACCTTCTAGCTAGTGTTGGATCCCCCTTGCTGAATACCTTCTTCCCTCCTTGATTGAACACCCTAGTCAATACCGTTTGGTTCCGTCCTATATTGGTCAACACCGTTCAGTTTCGTTCTATAATGGGCAACACCGTTCAGTTTCATCCTATAATAGGCAACACCGTTCGGTTTCGTCCTTTAATGGTCAAAACCATACCCGTTCGGCCCCCTATCAAACCGTTCGGCTTCTATCATTTTTGGCTAAGTGAGGCCTCCAGCTGAGAAAGCAGACATCTCCATCTGCTTCCGGTCTACTTCGGTCTCAGCTTCCTCAGTCTCCACCTCTTCATCCTCCCCCAAAATAACCGTCTCTCGACTCTTTTCTGGCCACTGATGGCCTGGATCGAACAGTCGTCCTGGATTATGGCGATCGGCCTCTGACCGCTCAGTAACTTTCAATCGGCATGGGTTATAGCAATAGGTCTCGGACCGCTCGGCTAATCCCAATCGGTTTGGTCTATAGTACTTGGCCTTGTACCGCTCGGTAACCGCTCCTCGCGTTCGTCCCCCAAATGACTCGTCTTCTGACCAGGTCCCCGCCAAAATCTTGAGGTCTTGTACAGACTCGTTCACTGTCCCCTTCTGTTTGTATGTCGCCAAACGCTATCACTAGGGCTTCCTTCAAACCATCCCAAGAACGATTCTTGGCTTTCTCCTTCCAGGCTCTGAACCAGTAACCCGCACTGCCCTCCATGCTTATGTACGCGAGTCGCACTTTCTCCTCCTCCGCTACTCCTTAAAACTCGAAAAACTTCTCCGCCTTATTGATCCAGTTTAACGGGTCCAGCCCTTCGAAAGTGGGTAATTCACCCCTCTTCCACCATTTATTCTGCCCCTCTGGATGATCGCCATCCACGCTCACTCCAATATCCTCATCGCACTGTCGCTGGTTGTCATTTACGGAAATCTGACTTCCACCTGATTGTTCTTCGTTGTTGTAAGCCCGCGCTCCCATCATCCTCATTATTTTTTGCAAGTCCCGACGCACTGTGGCGGATTCCGCCTGTATCCCTTCCATCGTAATCTCCAGAGCCTCCAATCGTCTCTTCGTGCTCCCCTCCATCTTTGCTTCACATCCAATTTGGATCCGGCAGTTTCTTGATTACTTCTTGATCCTTCACCCCCCACTTCGAAACGGCAGGTCGGACCAATTTGTTAGGTTCCTGGGTTTCGAACCTAACAAGAACTCAATCAAAAGATGGAGACAGAAAGAAAGAATGGGTTTCTTGTATTATTCACAGTAAAAGAGACCTCTTTACAAGAATGAGTTGGGAGCATAACCTCCCTGGCTGAGGGCATAACCCCTCTCTACAAGCTAAAACGCCTGACTTTACACAGTATATTCGATACCCGTCCAGAGTTACAAGAGCTCTATTTATAGCAACTCTGACCCGCTCCCCCCTTTACAACCGACACCCCCATACCCTTAACTTCTAAACCCATTTATTCTATCATCCTATATCCTAACAACTTATGTTGGATTTTAACAATGCCAACAGTTTTAATTAAAATAAGAGACAAGTTTAATAATATAGATGCAAGAGACAAGATAACCAAACAAACCTACACCAAAATAAGAGAATTCTATCAAACAATATTATATCACGATCTCTTCAATATTTAATGTCTCAAAAAGGAAAAAAAATTCAAACCTTAACAAATCTTACAACCTTAGACCTGCTCTTGCTAGCCCAAATGCTCATATCAAACACAAAGCCATGAAGCAAATAAAGATGCAAATTGAAGAAAAGAACTCAAGACTAATGAATTAAATATAAAGATGCCAATTGAAGAATAGAACTTAAGACTAATGACTTAAAGTTAAGAAAAATCTCACCAGATATCTCCCACTTGTCAAATTTGACCAGCCACGAACCCAAACTAACCTCTGCAAAAGATAAACTGTCAACCCACACTCGATAGTATTGGTCCTTCTTGTCACCAAAAGCCTTTTCAAAGGTATCTATAACATGGTGCATAGATTGGTCAACTCCTGAAGGATGGACACAATTTCCTGTAGAATGCTAAAAATAAACAAAAAAGAAAATTGAGAAAAGAATAGCATCAGCTCCTCTTCAGATTAACAAAATCTACATAAAAATCCCCTCAGGTTTCATATAAATGGATAGAAAATAATTGGGGATATGAAAGTCTAAACTTCATAGATCCCATATCAACAGGAACTTCATGTGTTGTGATTCTCCTTTCACTATTTATGATAAAACAACGTCTTTTCAAATCCACCATGTCTTTTCTCATGCAATTTAAACTTCTGTCTGGTTTCTTTCAATACTCTAACAGTTCTAGGTATTCCAATTCCAAATATCATTCATTGTTCATGTACTCAAAAGATTCAGCTCTGATTAAGCTTAGCCATGGATTTGCAGCTGAGTAAAATCTTACAATTGGATCAAACTTACAAAGACTGATTTCAAATTGTGCATATACTGCTTAGGATTCTCAACTTCACCACACCTCCATCTCTCATAAAATATGTAGAACATCACTACTTCATGGCTAGGACCAAGAACTTTCCCGCTGGACATGCAATCTCCAATATCTCTTGGAGACACATTCGGACCAAGAGAGAAGTCACCGATGGCTTGCATAATGCCAGCTGCACATCTTTCAGTTGCATGAACTATTTGGGGATTGCTCCTTGCATTTTCTGTATACCAATGAAGCAATTCTTCCTGTGCATTGCTGACCTTCAAATTCAGGAAATGAAATATCATTTTTCACAGTACAATCACATTTGCAGATAATACAAACAACTGTAAGTTGAAGTTGTTAANAAAGAGTTATGTTTTCACTATCAAACATAACTTTTGATGTAGGGGTAAGTGTTGGATCATCATTGGTATTAGAGCCAATGTCATGAGTTCGATTCCTAACAAGACATTATTGAGGTAGAGAGATTGTTGCAAGTGGTATTAATTATTGGGCTGTATGCTCTCAAGTATCAGCTAAACTTTGACCTAGTGGTAAGCGATTAATCCAACAAACTCAAGCAAAACCAAGTTGAAATGGTTGAACCAAGAACAGGGAGATGGCTTGATAGAGTGAGCGATAAAGCCTCCAGACAAGACATGAGTCAGAAGACAATAAAACAGAGTGACTGATGTACGCTTCTTCTTGCAACTCACCATGCAAAAAGGCATTTTTGTTGTCCAATTGGTGAAGAGGTCAGGGACAAATGACAGCCATGGAAAGAGAAAAGGAAACAAAGGAGAGTTCGGCCATGAGAAAAAAGTGTCACCATAATCTAGGCAAAAAATGTGAGTATAACTCTTAGCCACCAAATGAGCTTTGTAACAATCAAATGTACCATCAAGTGTGATCTTCACAGTATAAACACAACGACTCCTGATGATGGTTTTGTTAGGAGGCAAGAGCACAAGCTCTCAGGTGTTGCTAGCATCCAAAGCAGCCATCTTTGCAAGCATGGCTTGTTAACAATTGTGATTAGCCATTGCTTCACTTATAGAATTAAGAATGGACACAAAGTTCAAAGAAGAAATAAACTAAAAATAGGAAGGGGATAAACAATCACAATTTAGAGCAAAGGCACAAAGGTTAGAATTAAGAGTGGACAGAATACCTTTGCAAATTCCAATGGGAGGTTCAACTATAGGCAACATTGGTGGAAGAGTGGTTTGAGCAAGAGATGATGTTTGATAAGTGGGTGACACTTTTGGTCGTGCTCATATTCACCAATGGTATGTGATAAATGGAGGTGGAACAGGAGCTAATACAAGTGTTGGGACATGAATGAAACCTTGAGAGGGACATCTCCAAGGGTGGAAGAAAAAAGGAGTAGTCTCAAAAAATGTAACATCAATGGTAGAAGAAAGGAAGTAGTAGTCTCAAATAATGCAAGTCAGCAGAGACTGAATTCTAGAGTCCAAGAGTAACCCATAAAAATACATTTTAGGGTTTTAACATACAATTTACTTTTACCTAGACTGAGACCATGGACTAACCATGTGCTCTCAAAGATATAAGGAAAAACACAAAACAAAGACATAAAATAGAAAACCCGTAACAGATGAAAGAGAGCTCCTAAGTTCCAAGAAGAGAGGGCTCCTAAGTTTGGCAGCTGAGATTATGCAAGGAAATAAAAAATTATTTTATTTATAACAACAATCACAACAGTTAGATTCTCATTGCCTATAACAAAAACTCTTTAAACTAAAAAAATAAAAATACGTTGAAATAAATAAGGAAATTTTAAAGATATTTTTCCTGTTCACCATGGAGAGATTGAGGATAATTTTATCTTAATAATCCACTATTTACAATAAATAGGACTTAAGCCTAGAAGCTAGGTTAAGGAGAAGGGACTACACAACTTATGTTAGGTTCCTGGGTTTGGAACCTAACAAGAACTCAATCAAAAGATGGAGACAAAAAGAAAGAATGGGTTTCCTGTATTATTCACAGTAAAAGAGACATCTTTACAAGAATGAGTTGGGAGCATAACCTCCCTGGCTGAGGGCATAACCCCTCTCTACAAGCTAAAACCCCTGACTTTACACAAAGTATATTCGATACCCCTACAGAGTTACAAGAGCTCTATTTATAGCAGCTCTGACCCGCTCCCCCCTTTACAACCGACACCCCCATACCCCTAACTTCTAAACCCATCTAGTCTATCATCCTATATCCTAACATTACACCCCGCTGCAGAACAACCTTGTCCTCAAGGTTGGAACCGTAAAATTTGGTCTCTTGGCTCCTCTTCATCATCTTGTTATCATCTGAAGAGAATCCACTGGCTACTGCCCACCAATTCAGGTCGGGAGGCTTAGGTGGTGGCAATTCCTCCTCCACTATCTTCCATGCTTCCTCTTTCCTTCCTATCACCCCCAAATCCCACACCAAGGTCCACAGTTCTACTTCCTTTATTTTTAACAAAGCTTCTGGCTCCCCCCACCTTCTAGCTAGTGTTGGATCCCCCTTGCTGAATACCTTCTTCCCTCCTTGATTGAACACCCTAGTCAATACCGTTTGGTTCCGTCCTATATTGGTCAACACCGTTCAGTTTCGTTCTATAATGGGCAACACCGTTCAGTTTCATCCTATAATAGGCAACACCGTTCGGTTTCGTCCTTTAATGGTCAAAACCATACCCGTTCGGCCCCCTATCAAACCGTTCGGCTTCTATCATTTTTGGCTAAGTGAGGCCTCCAGCTGAGAAAGCAGACATCTCCATCTGCTTCCGGTCTACTTCGGTCTCAGCTTCCTCAGTCTCCACCTCTTCATCCTCCCCCAAAATAACCGTCTCTCGACTCTTTTCTGGCCACTGATGGCCTGGATCGAACAGTCGTCCTGGATTATGGCGATCGGCCTCTGACCGCTCAGTAACTTTCAATCGGCATGGGTTATAGCAATAGGTCTCGGACCGCTCGGCTAATCCCAATCGGTTTGGTCTATAGTACTTGGCCTTGTACCGCTCGGTAACCGCTCCTCGCGTTCGTCCCCCAAATGACTCGTCTTCTGACCAGGTCCCCGCCAAAATCTTGAGGTCTTGTACAGACTCGTTCACTGTCCCCTTCTGTTTGTATGTCGCCAAACGCTATCACTAGGGCTTCCTTCAAACCATCCCAAGAACGATTCTTGGCTTTCTCCTTCCAGGCTCTGAACCAGTAACCCGCACTGCCCTCCATGCTTATGTACGCGAGTCGCACTTTCTCCTCCTCCGCTACTCCTTAAAACTCGAAAAACTTCTCCGCCTTATTGATCCAGTTTAACGGGTCCAGCCCTTCGAAAGTGGGTAATTCACCCCTCTTCCACCATTTATTCTGCCCCTCTGGATGATCGCCATCCACGCTCACTCCAATATCCTCATCGCACTGTCGCTGGTTGTCATTTACGGAAATCTGACTTCCACCTGATTGTTCTTCGTTGTTGTAAGCCCGCGCTCCCATCATCCTCATTATTTTTTGCAAGTCCCGACGCACTGTGGCGGATTCCGCCTGTATCCCTTCCATCGTAATCTCCAGAGCCTCCAATCGTCTCTTCGTGCTCCCCTCCATCTTTGCTTCACATCCAATTTGGATCCGGCAGTTTCTTGATTACTTCTTGATCCTTCACCCCCCACTTCGAAACGGCAGGTCGGACCAATTTGTTAGGTTCCTGGGTTTCGAACCTAACAAGAACTCAATCAAAAGATGGAGACAGAAAGAAAGAATGGGTTTCTTGTATTATTCACAGTAAAAGAGACCTCTTTACAAGAATGAGTTGGGAGCATAACCTCCCTGGCTGAGGGCATAACCCCTCTCTACAAGCTAAAACGCCTGACTTTACACAGTATATTCGATACCCGTCCAGAGTTACAAGAGCTCTATTTATAGCAACTCTGACCCGCTCCCCCCTTTACAACCGACACCCCCATACCCTTAACTTCTAAACCCATTTATTCTATCATCCTATATCCTAACAACTTATGTTGGATTTTAACAATGCCAACAGTTTTAATTAAAATAAGAGACAAGTTTAATAATATAGATGCAAGAGACAAGATAACCAAACAAACCTACACCAAAATAAGAGAATTCTATCAAACAATATTATATCACGATCTCTTCAATATTTAATGTCTCAAAAAGGAAAAAAAATTCAAACCTTAACAAATCTTACAACCTTAGACCTGCTCTTGCTAGCCCAAATGCTCATATCAAACACAAAGCCATGAAGCAAATAAAGATGCAAATTGAAGAAAAGAACTCAAGACTAATGAATTAAATATAAAGATGCCAATTGAAGAATAGAACTTAAGACTAATGACTTAAAGTTAAGAAAAATCTCACCAGATATCTCCCACTTGTCAAATTTGACCAGCCACGAACCCAAACTAACCTCTGCAAAAGATAAACTGTCAACCCACACTCGATAGTATTGGTCCTTCTTGTCACCAAAAGCCTTTTCAAAGGTATCTATAACATGGTGCATAGATTGGTCAACTCCTGAAGGATGGACACAATTTCCTGTAGAATGCTAAAAATAAACAAAAAAGAAAATTGAGAAAAGAATAGCATCAGCTCCTCTTCAGATTAACAAAATCTACATAAAAATCCCCTCAGGTTTCATATAAATGGATAGAAAATAATTGGGGATATGAAAGTCTAAACTTCATAGATCCCATATCAACAGGAACTTCATGTGTTGTGATTCTCCTTTCACTATTTATGATAAAACAACGTCTTTTCAAATCCACCATGTCTTTTCTCATGCAATTTAAACTTCTGTCTGGTTTCTTTCAATACTCTAACAGTTCTAGGTATTCCAATTCCAAATATCATTCATTGTTCATGTACTCAAAAGATTCAGCTCTGATTAAGCTTAGCCATGGATTTGCAGCTGAGTAAAATCTTACAATTGGATCAAACTTACAAAGACTGATTTCAAATTGTGCATATACTGCTTAGGATTCTCAACTTCACCACACCTCCATCTCTCATAAAATATGTAGAACATCACTACTTCATGGCTAGGACCAAGAACTTTCCCGCTGGACATGCAATCTCCAATATCTCTTGGAGACACATTCGGACCAAGAGAGAAGTCACCGATGGCTTGCATAATGCCAGCTGCACATCTTTCAGTTGCATGAACTATTTGGGGATTGCTCCTTGCATTTTCTGTATACCAATGAAGCAATTCTTCCTGTGCATTGCTGACCTTCAAATTCAGGAAATGAAATATCATTTTTCACAGTACAATCACATTTGCAGATAATACAAACAACTGTAAGTTGAAGTTGTTAATTCTAATAACAAAACGAACCAAGACCCCATTAACTGCAGGCACAGTAAACAGTTCAGCATCATTTCCAGAATCACCACAAACAAGAGTGTTGCGTGGTCCAAGTCCACCAGCATTTAGTTTTTCAAGTACGAAAGCAAGTGCCCTTCCTTTTCCAGCAGCTTGGGGTAATACATCCAAAGCAATACCATTGCTATAAATTATTTTCACATCTAACTGGAAAAGATAAAACATTAATATAAATATATAATGAAATTGTAGCATGTCAATAAAATATCAGATCAAGACAAATCCAATCAAGTAGGTATCTATGTATACTTATCGGTTGTCTGTTTTTATAGATGAGAAAGGATGACAGAGGGTCTTACCCACCTATCCCAAAAAAAGTTGCAGGCAAAGCTTTCAAATGAAGTAGACAAATTTCTGCCATTAAGTTTATTATGAACTATAATCTCACCCCACGTTTCTCCAGACATTTTGAGAGAGCTTTGACAACATTTGGGGCCTTCCCTTTTTCCAAATAAAAGCTGACCTTGTGAGGCCGTTGTTCTGTTTCTGACTGCAGTTACTCCAGAAATTTCAAAGAAAACAAATTGATAAATGAATATCAATGCTTCCTTATAATAGCTAATACCAAAATTCATTTAAGGTCATTCTGCTGAGCATGATTCAACATATAAAAATTCTGATAAGTATCTTATTTTTGATAATTAACAGATTACAAGGTAGTTACATACTTGCATAGTTAATTCAGGAAACTTGGCTGTTTCCTCCAAAACCACGTCTCTGTCCCACTTATGATCCAGATACTGTTTCCAACCATCATCAGGTACCATGGATTCACCATATGTAATCTCAGTACCCACAGACATTATAGTGATATCAGGAGTCAACAAAGGTTTCTGTTTTCTTAAATCTCCATAAATAGTAGGGGATCTCCCAGTGGAGAAAACTAGCAGAGAATCATGACGATAATAAGCTTCCCACAAAGCATTGAACCTGAGAAGAGCAAGATTCTCTGGATCATCATGGTCTACCTGCAGTGAGATACACAATCTTCACCAGATTTCACCCAAGCATTATTCCATAAACAGACCATTGTCAAAATTATAATGTCTACCATTGTAAAATCAAGATCTGACACTATCATTAGATTGGCAGCACCATTGAGTCGGTCCATAAGTTTATATTCTCTTTTCTATAACTTGAAATTCCCAAACTTTCAAGTATCTTCAGAATAATGCACCTGCAATTTCTCCACTAACTTAGGTTCAACAAATCGTAGTTCAGACTTCAGAATTCTAAACCGTTTTAAATAAGAATCATACCCTGTTTTAATGCAAGAACCAAGATTCACAAAAACAATATAGAAACATTCGCACGATCACTGTACAAAACTTAGGCTTCACAGCCCCTAATTTTGCCAAAAAATCAAGGTAGAGAACAGGTGTCTATAACTACTCTAAGTGTAGTTCAATAACATCAATACTATTTATAAAAAAATTAAAAAAAAAACTAATTTTACTAGTGTGTCAAGGTGAAAATATAAATTTTACAGCAGCTCCATACATTGGGATTGAAAAACTCAAGGGAGTTACAAACTCAAGTTTCAACCCTAAAATAGAATAACCCTAGGAGCTCATTCTCAAGCTTGTTATCAATTTGATCACATACTAATCCGAAATTCAAAATGAAGAAACTCAACCCTTCCAAAGCACGGAGATCTCCAATAAATTATCAATAAACAAAAAACAAAAAATGGTCCTAAGAAAAAGAGAAATAATATAAATATACAAGAAGAGGGGCGAGAAGCTACCTGCTTTAAACGATTCAAAAGATCTGCACAAATGGGTTTATCCATACACTGAATCTGCAATAAAGTTCCACAATTCTGCACAGCCCAAATTAAACTTGTTTGCAGTATTCTCATGTATTATCAAACTTAAAATCGTAATATGACAATAACTTTAAATAAAATTCAATTACCTTGTTCTTTTAAAAGTATCATTAACATGTTCCAAACTGCTCAATCTAAATTTTAACGATTTAAAACTAAGAATTTCTCATTCAAAATTGTTGGAGTGACATAGAAATTAGGGAATTTATAAGTTATCCATATTTTGGTAATAAAAACAAAGTGTGTTATACAAAATAGTAGATATTTTTCACCATTATTTACGAAGTTATCCATATGATGAAACAGTTGATAAAATTATTCGCCATCAATTATATTTTAAATGGAAAGATAAAAATACAAATTTAATATATTTTTCATTTTATTTTTTTAAGCTCATGCTACGCAAAATTTAATATATTTCCCAATTACTTAATTAGTTTATTCGTTTTCTTTTATTAATACAATTAAAAACAGGACTTTATATATATATATATATATATATATATATATATATATATATATATATATTAACACAATCCTGCATCACAAATACTATTAAGAAACAGTTATATAATTATATTAAAAAATCCTATTATATCAAGTTTATAACATAATGTTGAATCCTTCAAATAAAAAAATATCAAGTTGTATTTAGAAAGAAAAGAAAGCAGTAAACGAATACATCATGTTATTATCCATATTTATATTAAATTATCTATACACAAAATTCTCATGGTAAGTCAGGGCTTCTTTTCAACACCAACATTATTTTATTTTATGTTATCGTGAAATCATAGATAATAACATGATAATTACATCATAACACATAGGATAAAGTAAAAATAATTTAAAATCTATAAGTTTTAAATAAAAAGAAAATAAGTTAGAAATTTAAAAAATCACTACATATAATTTTCTCAATTCATACTATCTATGTCTAAACATACATAATCTTATAGTCGAGAACCATAAACACAACTTTTAAAGGACTGTTGTATTGACTAGTATCGTGATAAAATAAATTTTATATCTAACAAATACAATCATTTTCAACATTTTATATATGAACTTTCATCCACTCTCATAATTAGTTATTTTTATTTATATGATCTAATTATTTTTATTTATATGATTTTAGTTACTAGTCGAGTCAAAATGATCTAATTTTAATCCTTATCATCAATATATCTCACATAATTGAATACATGATAGCATTACCATTTTAGGAATCACTATTTCTTCATTTCATTCAATTCGTATCAAACCAACTTAAAATTACAACCAATTCAAAGTATTTACATTATTCACACATACATCATACATCATCACATACCATTTGATTGTTCTTTCGCCTACTTTAATACTCTTAAAATCATCATTCTTACATAGCATAAAAATTTATCAATAAGTTTTAAACTTCAAATCACCTTTCAAAAAAATAAATTTGACATATTTGTTCAACGGGTCCAATTACTTGCGAGTGACCCATATAAAAGTTTGCGCTTAGACCACTTTCACTTGAAGGGATGAATTTGAAGGAGAGAGAATGAATAAATTTGAGAGTAAATTGAGTGTTGTTTTCTTGAAGGAATTTGGAGGTAATTTAGGATGGATTTGAAAATAAAATTTGTAAAAATTTACATAGAATTTGACCAACGTAATAGATAAAATTTGTAAAAATATACAAAATAAAAATTACCAAAATTTTCTTGATGATAAAAGTAATATAAAATTATATTTATTAATAATATATTTATTTATAAAATTTATTATAAAGAAGAAAATGGTTATCAAATTTTATACACTATTTCAAACCTAGAATATATTGTTTAAATTCTATCCAAGATACTCATTTTGTTCATAACTCCTAGGTAATGCAAGCAATATATCTCCAAACAATAATATAACTACAATTGTAAGTTGGTTAATTCGTTGTAACTGGACCAATATAAAATGTAAAGAAACTAAAACACTTTTAATTCAAGCCACTGGTAAATGGAACACCATACATCAAATTAATTTTGTCACTGGTAACTTAGGTTATTACTTAAATTTTAAATAGAGGTGGTGGAATTTGGAAGTACTCCCATGCCTACTTACATAACCAGAAAATTTAGCCCAGAGTTGCTGCCACTATTATCAAGTGTGATTCCCACCAATGTTTTTATCCAACAACCCCTCCAAATATTGACACATTTTCGCTGTTCCATCAAATTCTGGGTTGCCTATTACTTCTTAAAGATTGTGATAAGGCTGTTGGTTTAAATTAGAAGCTTTCAAAGGAGTCATAGGAGTAAGCAGATTCAGGCTTTTCCATCAAACTTCAACGATGAATAAAAAATGAATGAATAGCGTAATTCCTTGCTTTTCTTTCCCCTTAAATCCATGCAAACAAATGTCAGTTTAATTGAGAATTTGTCTACACAAATCACTNTCCAAGTCCACCAGCATTTAGTTTTTCAAGTACGAAAGCAAGTGCCCTTCCTTTTCCAGCAGCTTGGGGTAATACATCCAAAGCAATACCATTGCTATAAATTATTTTCACATCTAACTGGAAAAGATAAAACATTAATATAAATATATAATGAAATTGTAGCATGTCAATAAAATATCAGATCAAGACAAATCCAATCAAGTAGGTATCTATGTATACTTATCGGTTGTCTGTTTTTATAGATGAGAAAGGATGACAGAGGGTCTTACCCACCTATCCCAAAAAAAGTTGCAGGCAAAGCTTTCAAATGAAGTAGACAAATTTCTGCCATTAAGTTTATTATGAACTATAATCTCACCCCACGTTTCTCCAGACATTTTGAGAGAGCTTTGACAACATTTGGGGCCTTCCCTTTTTCCAAATAAAAGCTGACCTTGTGAGGCCGTTGTTCTGTTTCTGACTGCAGTTACTCCAGAAATTTCAAAGAAAACAAATTGATAAATGAATATCAATGCTTCCTTATAATAGCTAATACCAAAATTCATTTAAGGTCATTCTGCTGAGCATGATTCAACATATAAAAATTCTGATAAGTATCTTATTTTTGATAATTAACAGATTACAAGGTAGTTACATACTTGCATAGTTAATTCAGGAAACTTGGCTGTTTCCTCCAAAACCACGTCTCTGTCCCACTTATGATCCAGATACTGTTTCCAACCATCATCAGGTACCATGGATTCACCATATGTAATCTCAGTACCCACAGACATTATAGTGATATCAGGAGTCAACAAAGGTTTCTGTTTTCTTAAATCTCCATAAATAGTAGGGGATCTCCCAGTGGAGAAAACTAGCAGAGAATCATGACGATAATAAGCTTCCCACAAAGCATTGAACCTGAGAAGAGCAAGATTCTCTGGATCATCATGGTCTACCTGCAGTGAGATACACAATCTTCACCAGATTTCACCCAAGCATTATTCCATAAACAGACCATTGTCAAAATTATAATGTCTACCATTGTAAAATCAAGATCTGACACTATCATTAGATTGGCAGCACCATTGAGTCGGTCCATAAGTTTATATTCTCTTTTCTATAACTTGAAATTCCCAAACTTTAAAGTATCTTCAGAATAATGCACCTGCAATTTCTCCACTAACTTAGGTTCAACAAATCGTAGTTCAGACTTCAGAATTCTAAACCGTTTTAAATAAGAATCATACCCTGTTTTAATGCAAGAACCAAGATTCACAAAAACAATATAGAAACATTCGCACGATCACTGTACAAAACTTAGGCTTCACAGCCCCTAATTTTGCCAAAAAATCAAGGTAGAGAACAGGTGTCTATAACTACTCTAAGTGTAGTTCAATAACATCAATACTATTTATAAAAAAATTAAAAAAAAAACTAATTTTACTAGTGTGTCAAGGTGAAAATATAAATTTTACAGCAGCTCCATACATTGGGATTGAAAAACTCAAGGGAGTTACAAACTCAAGTTTCAACCCTAAAATAGAATAACCCTAGGAGCTCATTCTCAAGCTTGTTATCAATTTGATCACATACTAATCCGAAATTCAAAATGAAGAAACTCAACCCTTCCAAAGCACGGAGATCTCCAATAAATTATCAATAAACAAAAAACAAAAAATGGTCCTAAGAAAAAGAGAAATAATATAAATATACAAGAAGAGGGGCGAGAAGCTACCTGCTTTAAACGATTCAAAAGATCTGCACAAATGGGTTTATCCATACACTGAATCTGCAATAAAGTTCCACAATTCTGCACAGCCCAAATTAAACTTGTTTGCAGTATTCTCATGTATTATCAAACTTAAAATCGTAATATGACAATAACTTTAAATAAAATTCAATTACCTTGTTCTTTTAAAAGTATCATTAACATGTTCCAAACTGCTCAATCTAAATTTTAACGATTTAAAACTAAGAATTTCTCATTCAAAATTGTTGGAGTGACATAGAAATTAGGGAATTTATAAGTTATCCATATTTTGGTAATAAAAACAAAGTGTGTTATACAAAATAGTAGATATTTTTCACCATTATTTACGAAGTTATCCATATGATGAAACAGTTGATAAAATTATTCGCCATCAATTATATTTTAAATGGAAAGATAAAAATACAAATTTAATATATTTTTCATTTTATTTTTTTAAGCTCATGCTACGCAAAATTTAATATATTTCCCAATTACTTAATTAGTTTATTCGTTTTCTTTTATTAATACAATTAAAAACAGGACTTTATATATATATATATATATATATATATATATATATATATATATATATATTAACACAATCCTGCATCACAAATACTATTAAGAAACAGTTATATAATTATATTAAAAAATCCTATTATATCAAGTTTATAACATAATGTTGAATCCTTCAAATAAAAAAATATCAAGTTGTATTTAGAAAGAAAAGAAAGCAGTAAACGAATACATCATGTTATTATCCATATTTATATTAAATTATCTATACACAAAATTCTCATGGTAAGTCAGGGCTTCTTTTCAACACCAACATTATTTTATTTTATGTTATCGTGAAATCATAGATAATAACATGATAATTACATCATAACACATAGGATAAAGTAAAAATAATTTAAAATCTATAAGTTTTAAATAAAAAGAAAATAAGTTAGAAATTTAAAAAATCACTACATATAATTTTCTCAATTCATACTATCTATGTCTAAACATACATAATCTTATAGTCGAGAACCATAAACACAACTTTTAAAGGACTGTTGTATTGACTAGTATCGTGATAAAATAAATTTTATATCTAACAAATACAATCATTTTCAACATTTTATATATGAACTTTCATCCACTCTCATAATTAGTTATTTTTATTTATATGATCTAATTATTTTTATTTATATGATTTTAGTTACTAGTCGAGTCAAAATGATCTAATTTTAATCCTTATCATCAATATATCTCACATAATTGAATACATGATAGCATTACCATTTTAGGAATCACTATTTCTTCATTTCATTCAATTCGTATCAAACCAACTTAAAATTACAACCAATTCAAAGTATTTACATTATTCACACATACATCATACATCATCACATACCATTTGATTGTTCTTTCGCCTACTTTAATACTCTTAAAATCATCATTCTTACATAGCATAAAAATTTATCAATAAGTTTTAAACTTCAAATCACCTTTCAAAAAAATAAATTTGACATATTTGTTCAACGGGTCCAATTACTTGCGAGTGACCCATATAAAAGTTTGCGCTTAGACCACTTTCACTTGAAGGGATGAATTTGAAGGAGAGAGAATGAATAAATTTGAGAGTAAATTGAGTGTTGTTTTCTTGAAGGAATTTGGAGGTAATTTAGGATGGATTTGAAAATAAAATTTGTAAAAATTTACATAGAATTTGACCAACGTAATAGATAAAATTTGTAAAAATATACAAAATAAAAATTACCAAAATTTTCTTGATGATAAAAGTAATATAAAATTATATTTATTAATAATATATTTATTTATAAAATTTATTATAAAGAAGAAAATGGTTATCAAATTTTATACACTATTTCAAACCTAGAATATATTGTTTAAATTCTATCCAAGATACTCATTTTGTTCATAACTCCTAGGTAATGCAAGCAATATATCTCCAAACAATAATATAACTACAATTGTAAGTTGGTTAATTCGTTGTAACTGGACCAATATAAAATGTAAAGAAACTAAAACACTTTTAATTCAAGCCACTGGTAAATGGAACACCATACATCAAATTAATTTTGTCACTGGTAACTTAGGTTATTACTTAAATTTTAAATAGAGGTGGTGGAATTTGGAAGTACTCCCATGCCTACTTACATAACCAGAAAATTTAGCCCAGAGTTGCTGCCACTATTATCAAGTGTGATTCCCACCAATGTTTTTATCCAACAACCCCTCCAAATATTGACACATTTTCGCTGTTCCATCAAATTCTGGGTTGCCTATTACTTCTTAAAGATTGTGATAAGGCTGTTGGTTTAAATTAGAAGCTTTCAAAGGAGTCATAGGAGTAAGCAGATTCAGGCTTTTCCATCAAACTTCAACGATGAATAAAAAATGAATGAATAGCGTAATTCCTTGCTTTTCTTTCCCCTTAAATCCATGCAAACAAATGTCAGTTTAATTGAGAATTTGTCTACACAAATCACTTTAAACAGTGAATTCTTCACGAACGAACACTCCGAGAAAAAAAACAAATAAACTAAATTAAGTTTTGTGTGATTATGTTTTGGTGAATAAGTAAATTGATTGATAGTTTTATTTATTTATTATTGTAATTAATGATATACAAATTTAATATATTTTTCTTTAAATGAATATGGTTAACGAATTTAATTAAGGCTTAATATTTGGTCTCAATTTTTGTCAGCTTTATTCGAAATGGTCCTTATCTTTTTAAAATGTTTAATGTAGTCCTAAACATCGTAATTTATGTTTAATTTATTCCTTTTTGCAAACGTCATTTAAGTCGTTAACAACCAAATGTCCAGGTGTGCAATCAGTCAATGACATGCCATATATTAGCTGACGTGGACACTTTAAGGCATAGTGAAGTGGATTTTTTATTTTTGGAAGTGATTTTCTGAAATTTAATCAGAGGTTGGGGTTCTCTATGAGGTTGGCTTCGAAAATTAGGGTTCTCTTCCTCTTCTTCGTTTTGGATTTTTCCATCTCGTGCATGGAAGATGGTCTTGTGGCGGCGAGAATCATCGGCGTTGTGGAGGGATGGCTCAGGCGGTGCTCTCATCTTCGATCGCGGTTACCAGTGGAACCGCAAGGCCTTCGTCATGCAAGAGGACTCTTTTCTTCCCCTTTTTCCTCTTTTTTCATTTTGGACAGTAGCGCAAAGAGGGAGTTTCCTTCTCCTCCTCCTCTTCTGTCTTTGATTAGGTTCCTTAGGGTTCTTTTTGGATATTTGATTTTTTGTGATTTGGGATATAGGGTTTCGTTTCACTTTGATTTGAGAAATAATTGGTTCCTCTGAATTCTGAATTGGGTTGGGGTTCGTCTACATTGTAGATCAGTGGGGAGAATTGGGGTTTTGATTTGTCAGAAATGGACTTTAAGCCTAACTCAACCCCACAAAATTGGCTTGTAGGGTGAGGTTTGCACCCACTTATAAACTATGAATTGACCTTATCTCTAGTTGATGTGGAGGTACACATGTTGATGATCATAGTGATGATGAAGCTTTAGGGGAATGTTATGTTGACAATCATGGTATTGGATGATGTAGTTAGCTTAGGTGTTGATGAACGGGTAGACTACGGTCTAAGTGTGTGATGTTCAAGGATCGCGGATCGAGGATCGAGCCATTTAAATGATTAATTTGTTATCTTTAGAGGATTAGGAATCCTATCATTATTACTTCTATGCATGAAATGTTTGATTATGATTGATATAATCAGTATGTCTTGTTGTGTGTTTAATTATGGTTAACATAATTAGTATGTTTGTTTATATGACTTGTTTCTATTAGCTCACCCTTGCATGTTGTGGTTGTGGTTTTCACCTGCAATGATTGTTTTTATACGGGAGTAGATGATCATGTAATTAGTTTGGATGTTGTAGAGCACGACTAGTGGATTGAGAGAGTTGGGAAATTTATTGTTGTTTGAATAAACTATTTTATATGTAGTTTTATTTTATAATTAAATTGGAATTTTGGTTTATTTTTCTTGAAATGTATAGACTTGTTGAATTTTGATTTCGTAATGATATTATGATTTTAAAAATTTTAAATTTTCATTCATAATCGTGGCATCCCAAAATTGAGGTGCTATATTGTGGTATCAGAACCTGGTTTTCAAAAATATTTTGGGACCTTGGGGAGTGAGCTCGTCTAGTTTTATTGAGTATCTTTGTGGCTTATTGTTATTATGTTAAGATTAGTGATGAGTCTTTGAAAGGGTGTCAAACTTATTTGTTTCAGGTATAGGGTTGAAGTCCCTTATTCAAAGCACTCCAAGCTGTCTTGAAGACCGAACGGACTCCCTAGTGGTCCTCCCTCCTCCAAGTTACGTTGTTCGCTCTCCCTCCTTTTTGTCGAAGTCGTGCGGTTGGATATCTGTCAAAGGCACTATAGCGCTCAAGTTAGTAATCTAATCGATCGGTTAGTTGAGCAAGTAATGCATATAATGTGCATCATGATCTAAAGTCATACCTATGACCTTTATTTATACTAGTTGTAATGAGCTTTTACCTTTCGCTAGCCTAATGACGACCCAATTACACCTTAATATGCATTAGGGGTTTAATGAGTTATTATCGTTTATAATCTAACCATGCGGTCGACTTGGGTGATCGGCCTGGGTGGTCAGTCACTCGGTCTGGTGGTCGGCCTGGGTGCTCAGTCGCCCTGGGTGGTTCTCTTGGTGACTGTATGGTACACAACCCCCCCCCCCCCAAGCTCGAGCATGATGTTGATTATGGAAGGGGTTCTACACATGTTACTCCTTATAAAGACTTGGTTTTTGTCTTTGTGCCTTTTTGTTCGTTGATTAGGGTGACTGGTTGGGAGGCTAAAATGGATCGTGCCTTTGTCGGCCGAGCTGGATATGTTACTGATCCTACTTAAGTAACATGCCGTGGAGATCTACGATCGTTAAATTTTGGTGAGGCCAATAGCGACTCCTTGGAAAGAGATCCATGGTCACCAACCTTTGATTAGGCCGGCCGGGATTTCCTTAGTGAAGATCCATAGTTGCCGACCATCGGTGAGGCAGGCCGGGATTCCCTTGGTGAAGATCCACGGTCGCCGACCTTCAATGAGGCCAGCCGAGATTCCTTCGGTGAAGATCCATGGTCGCCGACCTTCAATGAGGCCAGCCGAGATTCCTTCGGTGAAGATCCACAATTGCCGACCTTCGATGAGGCCGGCCAAGATTCCTTTGGGACCCAGGGTAGCCGAAT